GACGCGGGACCCCGACATCCCAGGCCTGGGCGCCAGGGGCGGACGCATGGGACCTATCCAGAGAGGCAATTTGTAGGCGAATTCTTTGAAACTCCAAGTCCGGACTGTGCAGCCCAAACCCTGCATCCCGGGCTCCCGCCGCGGAAGGACGGGACGCGGGAGCCGCGCAGCTGCCCTGGGCTCCGGCAAGAGGGAGCCTGGGTTGTGCTGGCAGCTCAGAGCCAGCCGGGCCTGGGACTCACCTTCTGAGCCTCAGTTTCCCCATCTGCGTGTGAGCACCGGCGGGCTGGCAGGTGGAGTGGGAGGCCCCACACGTGTTGTTAATATCAGCACGCGGTGTTCTCACCTTGAAATGGGCTCGTAAGCCGGTCTCGAGTAGTCACACCTCCACAGCTGGTGACTGGCGCGGAGGAACCCGAGCCAGTGGGAACCACTGTCGTTCATATGATCACTAATGTCTCTACACCATGCAGATAGGATGATAATTATGTCTTTATCCGGGTCTTGATGTTATAAAAACAGTGACAAAACTTACCTTTACTGAGCGTGCATTTGTGCCAAACATTCCCCAATCTCTCACTGAGGCCTCCAAGGCCGGCCCCGGGAGATGCCCACTGTGCAGACCAGGAAGCCAGTCTCCCAGACGTTAAATCACTTGCCCAAGGCCAAGCGGGGGGCAGGTGTGCCAGGGCCCTTTGGGGTGCTGCCTGCAGTTCCTGCTCTTCCCGCCTGTGCGGGGGATGTGGGGAGGGCCACCCTGCTCTGTTGCTAAAGGAGGCCTCCTGAGAATGTGGCCCCCAGTCCACACCCGGAGAACCCACCGCAGGAGGGAGCCCCGGAGAGCAGGGGGGAAGAATCTTCGATTCCTCGGAGATGGGGAGACAGAGGACCCCGTTTTAAACAAAGGACTCGAGAGGAAATTCGAGGAGCAAAACCTCACCTGCTCACCACTGTGGCCGCCACAACCTCACAGCTTTGCCCCAAGCCCCCTGAGCACCGAATGCGCCCCGGCCAGAGAGCAGGGCTGGGTAGGTGTGGAGACACCTGTGTACCGAGGCCTCAGAATCACTTTTGCGAATCATTTACAGGCGGTTCAATCCCGGTGGCCAACCCCCCACCCCTCCCCGTATACTTCGATGTCTTTCCTAAGCGTGGGGATTAGCTTACCTAACTTCAGCACAGTCACCAAATTCGTCAGTTCACATCAATAAAACACACATCTAATCCAGGTCCCCCTCCAACGCCGCCAGTGGATCCGACCATGTCCTTCGTAGCATTCCTTCCCCCTCGCCAGGTCCAGGCGGGCGAGGGATGACGTGGAGCTGCCTACCCTGCGGCTTTCCAGACGTCTCTACTCACGAGAGAGGCCCAAACGGCTGTCCTCGTGTGGTCCTGCTCCCACGGGCCCAGGACCACTTCAGGAACCGAGTTCGTGAACTCGTCTCCGCTCTGCTGTGGCTGTAGAAGCTGCACTTCCTGGCCGCGCTGGTCCTGTGGTCGATGGCACCCTGGTCCTTCCCCGGCCACAGACCCCAAATGCCCACTGTCCAGAGGCGCCCTCCCCTGGGGACAGTGGCCGGGGCTCATGGAGTCGCCGGGAGAACCCAGCGGGTCGGGGGCGACAGTGCGGCTCTGTGTGCGAGAGCTTCGCCTGTGGCAATGAACTCATGTCCCCACAGGAAGCGGGTTTGGTGACAGTGAGGACCCGCATCATCCGCCTGAGCCAGGGGCTCCTCCAGCCGCAGGAGAGGATCCCACGGACTCTGGGAATAACGAGGGGCGAAAGTATGGGCACCTGTCTCCCCCGCTGACTCAGCCTGTGAGGAGGGTCCCTGGTGGCTGTTTAGGGGTGTCCTCTGGGCAGAGGGCGCGCCTGGCACTGAGCGGGCACCCAGATAGGAGCCATCATGCAGAAGACGTTAGCAGCAGAGCTCACGGAGGGGACACTCGGGGGGCGGGCACCGGCTCCACATGCCAGCAGCCTTGGCAGGGGAGACAGGAGCAAGGTGAGTGGCTGGCGGCCCCCTGACCAGGAAATGCTCTGGCCCATCCCGCGGCCCAGCCAGCAGGGGGAGGGGTGGGGGGACAGAGCTCGGTGGGCAGAGCTGGAAACCAGTGGCCACATCACCAAGGACTACCTGCCCCCACCCTCCCCAGCCCTCGGCCTCACCTTGGGGCTGGGATGGATCTTCAGTCGCCTCCAACCCTAATACCTGCGGAGAACCGTGGGCACCTGCTCCCCCTGCAGGCCCCTGGGCCCACCCCACCCCCACCCTACAGGGTTGACCCTGTGGGTCAGTCTGCATTTTTTTAAAAAAATAGTTTTTATTGATATTTTACAGAGAGGAAGGGAGATGGATAGAGAGTTAGAAACATCGATGAGAGAGAAACACCGATCAGTGGCCTCCTGCACGCCCCCCACTGGGGATCAGGCCCACAACCAAGGTACATGCCGTTGACCAGAATCGAACCCGGGACCCTTCAGTCCACGGGCCGACGCTGTATCCACTGAGCCAACCTGGACGCTGTATCCACTGAGCCAACCTGGTTAGGGCTCACATCTGCAGTTTTAACAGAACCCCCCCACCCCCATGACCCACAATGCACCAGGGGACGCCTCGAACTCTCTCAAGAGGAGGCACACGGGCTGTCCCCGAGGGCAAGGTGGGGCTGCTGGTGTCGGGGAAGGTTCCCAGGTGGCCGTGCCCCAGCAGAGTCCTGGGCACCTGAGACTCAGAGAGGGACTGAGGGGAAGGCTCGCCAGGCGGGGGAGAGGCGTGCGCCTCGCCACAGCCAGGAAAGAATGTCCGGGCAGTCACATTCCGGCAGGAACGTGGGGCCGGGGCCGGGGATGGAGGCCACTGGGCAGCAGGAGACTCGGCGAGAGGCCGGGCGGGGGAGGTTAGAAGGGACTGCTGGTCACACTCAGGTGTCTCTATCCCAACGGTGATGGGAGGGAGCCATCCCTCTACGGGGCTGTCCGTTCCCATGCTGGGGGGTTGCTGGGCGGAAGGGTGAGCCAGTCCGACGCCTGCACCCAGGAACCCGAACCAGAGTCCTGGAGGGTCTGCCCAGAGCCCAGAGACCGGGAGGAGCAGCTGAGCTGGGCCCAAAGGGGGGTATCAAAAATAGGCTCCAAATAGACGCCCCCCATCTGCCGTCTCCATCTCCCTCTCCCATCTCCGTCTCCCTCTCCCTGGCTGGGGCCACCGTGCCTCCTGTGTTAGATTTCCATGGAAAGCCGTTTTCCTTAGGACGTCTCCACCAAAACTCCCCTTTTCCTGAAATAGCTTCCATCAAAGACTTTACAACCAGGCCAGGGACGCCCTGAAGATGTGTGAATCTGACTTCCTGAGCGCATGTGCCTACTGGACAGAAACCACGTTTTGTGGGGTTTGGGAAAGGAATTCAGTTGTGTGACCAGGACAGGGTCATGGCCCCAGAAGCTCCCCGCTGGCCCCCCGGTCCCTTATCCGGTCCCCACTTGCTGAAGCCACGCGTCTGCTTTGTGTCCCCAGACTTTTGCCTTTTGCAGAGCGTCACGTGCAATTTCACACTAACATTAGTAACGAAATCCATGTGCAGCTCCACACACTTGATGGTTTGGATCCCCGGAAGTCCAGGGCTAATAGAATTCAAAATAGGAATAAATCGATGTGACAGGTCGCATGCCGTAGGCAATCCTGACGATGTGGGCTGAAGAAAGAAAAGAAAGAACAAGACTTAGTCTCAGCACAGCATCCTGCACCTGGGGGGCTACGGGTGTCCACACGCCGGTGTCCTTACAGGTAAGGCATCGCCGCGAAGTTGATTTTAACGTGTTCAGCCCCGAGGATGCTCCAGCTGGTCAGCAGGCATTCTGTCAGAGGGCTGCCTGCGGAGTGAGGCAGAAAGAAGATCCAACAGCTAACCTGGGAGACGTGCTGGATGAGGGTCCTGCTGGCACGGCCACGGCGTGGGGAGCGTCCAGGTGGAGGTGAGTAAGTGAGTGTTGGCATCCGTTCTGGGCCCAGAGCTGCCGGTCGACACGTCGGAACTTTTCAGCGGCGCAGAGGGCTCTCATGGTCCCGCCTGTCTTCTTTATTCGGGTGTAAGCCGGACCCAGGGTCACTGCTACTTAGAACTCAGCCGGTCAGAGACGGAGGGCGTCTTCTCCCTCCTCCCCCTCTTCCTCCTCC